TACGTTTCATGGTAAGCGGAAAGTCTGGATTTTCGCGAATGGATTGTAATTCTGTGTCATGTTCTTGTTCGTTCGCGAGCTCATTTAGTTCGATTTCGACCGGTAGCCGAATGGTTTCAATGCGCGATAGAGAGTCAGCGGCGACGTTGTCACAACCCGCCAGATGCTCAATACATGTAGTAAACTGCGAAATAAATGACAGTTGTCTTTGTTGACGTGGTGACGCTTTCTCCGAACGTTGCATGAACGCGTAAATAAGAGGTTTATGATCTGTTAATATTTTGAAAACGCGTCCTTCCAGAAAGTATCGAAAGTATTTGAGAGCTTCGTAAATTGCAGTGAGTTCGCGATCATAAGCACTATATTTGAGCTGTGATGGACTAAATTTGCGCGAAAAAAATGCGAGCGGTTTCCACGCGTTATCCAGGAATTGCTCGAGGATACCTCCCATGGCAAAATTGGATGCATCACACACAAGGCGTGTTTCAGCCGCGTCAGAGGGGTGTGAAAGCATCGTCGCGCTGGCCAGGTCTTCTATACATTTACTAAATGAGTCTTCGGCTGTGAGGGTCCACGCAATCTCACACTTGTCATTTTTACACGAGTCACGAAGGTACTCGTTAAGCGGTGCTTGTACACTAACTGCGTGCTTAAGTACTCTATGATAAAAGTTAACGAGGCCGAGAAAACGACGCAATTCCACGACGGTGCGTGGTTTGGGAAAATCGCGGATCGCTTGTACTTTTGATGGAGTTGGTTTGCAACCCTCACTATTGATCAAGTAACCGAGAAATTCCAACTCTTGTTTACCAAATTCGCATTTCTCGACATTAAGACGCAAGTGGAATTCCTTTAGCCTTTGCAGTACAATTTGTAAATGTCTCTCGTGATCGTCAGGAGTCGCCGACGCAATGAGAATATCATCAATGAAAGCGAAAACAAATTCCAGGTCACCGAGTGCTTGAAAAATTTGTCTCTGAAAAGTTTGGCTGGCGTTCCTTAGGCCATACGTCATATACTTAAATTCGAAAAGCCCGAAGGGCGTAATAACCGCCGTTTTTGGAATTGCCTCGGGCGCGACCGGAATTTGGTTGTAAGCTTGGTAAAGGTCTAACTTGGAAAATATAACTTTACCGCGCAAATTTGAAGAGCAATCATGCAAATGAGGTACCGGGAATTTGTCCGGCACGGTTATCGCGTTTAGACGACGGTAGTCGCCGCAGATTCTCCATGATCCATCTTTTTTTGGAACCATATGTATAGGGCTTGCCCATGGACTGCTGGACGGTCTACAAATGCCTAGCTCGACCAGTCGTTTAAACTCGGCTTTAGCCGCTTTGAGTTTGTCCGGGCTTAACCTTCTGGGACGTTCCGCTACCGGAGGACCCGTAGTGATTATATGGTGGAACACGTCGCTATTGATGATTGGAACCGATTGTTCGAGGCCCGTAACTTCCGGAAATTTGGCTAAAATTTGCGCAAATTTTGTGGTAGGGTTTACCATACTAATCGCCAATGGCGGTACCGCTCTAACGATGCCACAAACAAACGTATTGAAATGCGGATCGATAAGCTTTCGACCTTTAAGATCAGGTAAGAGACCGTAGTGTGCAATCAGGTCGGCTCCTATAATCGGATACGGAACTGACGCCACACAAAAGTTCCACGAGAGCGGGCGTATGCCAAGATGCAGCGTTTGAAACTTTACCCCATAAGTATTTATTTGTGTATTATTGGCCGCGTAAAGTTTTAAACTACACTGAGTTTTGTTCGCGATGTTATCACATGGAAGCAATGAAATTTCCGCGCCTGTGTCGATAAGAAACAGTTGTCCCGTGACGCGGTCGCGGATGTGGAGACGGACCGAAGTATCGAGGCCTGCCGTATCCGCCTCATTTACGGCAGACGATCCTATTCCCCCGTGCTCCCATCAGTAATAGCAAGAGCCTTTGGCTTAGGCCAGGAACATGGGGATTCCTCCGTTCCTTTGCACGCGCGAGCTTTCTCACCGAAATTCCTGTGAGCCCAGCAAACCTTAGAACCCCTACTTTTTGAGCGTTTGCGATTTTTAGCATTTCCGTCTTTGGTCTGCGGCCTGCCTAGACGTTTCAATTGAGCCGCGAGAGCAGCTACGTCCGCGGTTAATCGATCTACCTTGGCCTCCATATCTGACGGCTTCGATTCCGTCAGCGATGCAGCGGCGCACTGCGCAGAATCGTTAGCGGTTTCGGATATCTTGTCGGCCATTTTGGCCAGTTTGTCCAGATCCGCGAACTCGGAAGTCGCTAGGATGCCTCTAATATACGGTGAAAGATATTCGAAGAAAATAGCCTTAAGAACCGCATCGTCACATTTTTTGTCCGGGTTTAAATTACGTAACCTGGCGAGAATCTGCGACGGCTTTCCGGATGTCAAAACCTGCCCTTTAAGCAGTTGGCGCAATTGGCTTTCCGCCGATATGGCAAAGGTCTCGATTATACGCTCCTTTAATTTATTATATGGTTCGTTAGCGTCCGGTGCCATGATAAGATCTCTACAACAAGCAATGGCCTCGGTATCCAGTGAAGCAATCACGTGATGGGCCATAGTTTTTTGATCTACTATACGCGCCGTTCCAAACGTCGCCTCTACTTGAATGAACCAAATTACAGGGTCTTTAATCAAGAATGGCGGAATTTTCGGAATTCTATACGAGTCAATCCGAGCAAGGTTAGGTTGACCCTGAGCCTCTTGCAGTGCGGCCTGCATTAGTTGTAACTGTTGCTGTAATTCTTCAACCGTGGGGGATGCCATGGCGATCCACCGGAAATCGCTAACCCTACTACTACTTATTTAACGCGGCCTCAACTATCACCAATGACCGCCTGTTACGCACGCGCGAATGCGATCACAATAAGTGCCGCCCAGCACTTACGAACAACTTACGCTTAAAGTTTCTATGCGCAATGCACGCGCGGGAAAATTCCAAGATGGCGTCGTCCTGGGATGAACGTCGACGGTTGAGCGCGCAAATCTGCGCGCGAACTTACGATGCTGTAATGGCGGCGATGATGTCCTGCACCCGGCGTTTGGCAACGGCCACTGGGACTGCGAAAGCGTTGACCTCGGCGTCGATGCTCTGCTCACCTGCTGTCGGGGGTCCAGTCATGCGTTCTCGGCTGCACAGCGCTGCACGCTTGGCGCGTGGACTGGATACTCGATGCGATGCCGTCAGCGATCCTCCTCTCGTAGCGACAATGGCGGCTTGCCGTCACGTTCGTTTATGTCGTAGACTGCCTTGCAAGGCGTGACCGCAGCAACGACGGCCGTCTCAGCGGAGACGTGAATATCCGGGCTGTCGGCGGAATGCCGTTGACTTGAGCCCGTAATAAGGTCGACGAACCTGGAACGTCCGCCTTCCTCTGGTCGTGCAGCAAAGGCCGGTGATCCTTCTTTCGTATTAATTCACCGATCACGTCGGGGTCACCAATGTGGGAAATGTCACGGTGTAAGTCGATGACAACCCACTTCACAATTATAGACGTGAAGAGAAAGAGGAATAACAATATCTGTACGACAGTTAGTAGAATAATCAGAGACGTTTATTGTTACTTCTGAGCAAGTCAAACGACAGTCTTCGAATGAACAATCTGTTGCTCTCCCGCAGGCATTTGCTGCTAAGGAAATCCCCTAGATTTTGTCACTAAGCGCGCTAGGGAATAATGTCGCACGCTGTTCTCCACATATAGAACCCGAGAGCTGCCATCAGGTTTTTTGGAACCGAAATAACTATTATCACCTGACGTTAATTGTGTGCATTTCATATTTTCGATATTTGCCAGCAGATGACGTGAGCTACTAACGAAATGTCAAATGTGTATTCCTAACCTCGAACGACCTAGTGCATTCTCAGCGAAAGCAGAGAGAATTATTTGAATTTATCAATGAAGAGGAGCATTAGGACAAAGTCAGAATTATTTAAAACTAAATTAAAAAATTAGGGAAAATAATCTGAGAATAATAATATATAAGATTTAGAATTTTAACATTCAGGTATCATGTAATCTCAATTAAGGAAAGGTTGAAAGCATAAAAAACCCATCAAGTACTCCAAAAATCCTTTCAAATGCATTTTTGCAGTCTAAAATTGCGTTTTATTATAAAAATCTTCTATTAACTGAAAGTCGCGAGATGTAGTTACGAGATTTTATAGAATTTAAATTCTAATCTACCTTCACGTTGACGTTGACACTGTCGATGAAAGAGGAGCATACTTTGAAAAGAACGATCATGGAGAGTACTCAATCGCTGTATATCAGCCTTTTCAGCGAGGAGAAGAGTGATGTCTTAAAGGAGGTTTGTAATACAATAACGTATGTATCCTTACTTTTGCCTGACATATCATGTAACAATTTCATTTTATATTAAGCTGTTGCATGCATGCGTTGACGAGATTTGCGGTCGCCCAGGACCATCGTATCGTAAATTCGCCAATAGCATGGATTGGAGCAGAGCGGAGTACGAAGGAATTTACAAGCTGATATCATCGTTATTGCGAAATCCTGTCTCTCTCTATATGGTAGAGGAAAAGGTATATCTGTTGAAAAACTAATTATCATGTCAATAAAACTAAGCATGCTTTCCAGCAAGACGTATGACTCATAGTAACACAGTGAATCATTTTATTTTTGGATGTTTTTCATTTGGTAATACAAAATTGACATAAGTATCGTTTTATCTTGGTTACTTACTGAATGTCAAGAGAGGTAGAATGTTATGTCGATTTGTAAAAGATTAACTTTAATCAATTTACTTCAATTTACGGTTCAATTTACTCTTTATCTTTTCCTATTTCTAAAAATTAGAAAAAGATAAACAGTCGAACAAGATTGTAAGTAAATCGAACAAGATTAAAGTTATTTTTTTTACATTGATCAAACCAGGCCTAAAATAATGGTCGAAATAATGCTATAAATGCTTAGGCATTCTTTGATTGATCAATTGACAAAATCTTTTATTCTAATTAGTCAATCAAATGTTTTTGTAGTGAGACTTTGATTTTACTACAATACTGATAAACAAAGATATGATTATTGTATTGTACTGAGTTGTGTGTGGCTGTTTTCCTTTCAGGAGTATCAGCTGACACAAACATCTTGACATTTATTGAATAACAAAGATCGAATGACACTAGCATCAACTGTATCTTCTAAAAAGAAAATAGCCTGTGTCTCTTACTGGTTAACATCTTCGGGCTTTGTTGTGTATCGCATATCAAATTTACTTCGAGTATAAAGAAATTAAAGTATAGACTTATAATATAATTTATTTTAATATAGGTAATTAAAATAAATTATAAATCTTCTATGATTCCATATTTGAACTCTTTTATACTACCAAGTAAATTTTATTGAAATATATTTTTCAGATGCCACAAGAATACCACGAGTTACCCGAGCAAGTGCAACAGAACATTCTTACTTGCTTAAAAGTACGCAGGGAACAATTGACTGACGCTTTATTGAGGGAACATTACAAAAGAAAATTGCCGACCATGGTCGATCACGATTGGAGATTGAAGGTATCATGCTTGATAATCATTCTATCTGCATATATATTCTTGGCTTTATTTATGCCATTACATTTCTTTACAGTTGATAATGGGTTCGAGCAAGATGGCCTCATTAAGGGAATCTCTACTTCAATTAGATCTTATAATAGAAGATAAAGAATCTCGGCGTATCATAAATTTAGAACTGAATAAAGATGAATTGGATACGATAATAAGCAATTTAGAAAAGCTAGTATAATATGTTTTGATATTTTTGTACAGAAAAAATGTATATATAATTATTATGTATGTATTAGAGCATATATTATACTAATGGTAAATTGTAAGTGTACAGGACACAGGTTCCGTGATAAAATAAATACTCGCTGCTGTTACACTTTGTTTCACAGTTTATTATAGGTTATAGATAAATGTAGAATAGTTTAGTTACTATTATAATTGCTGATCGAAGATACTGGAGACTGTATTTTCGCATCTGAGGCGGTCTCGATTCAAAGATCTCATTCAAAATTTTGTAGTCTCCGGCGCAAAATAAATAAACGAGCGAGGTTTGCCTCGACGGCGCCTCAGAGTGATAACAATCACTAGAGAAATGGTATGGGTGCACGGATATTATCAGTCTCGATTCGCTCGTGAAGAATTTCGATAAAAAGTTCGCTCTCGTCGCCAAAACGTGTTGTCCTATTAAGAAGACAATGAATCCTTTTTTTTTTCTTTTCGTTGTAAAGATCATTTTTACGGACAGATATATTTAATGAATGGTTTTACTATACAACTTTTAACTTTACTTCTTTCCCGCCCTTATACGTAAATATGTATGTAACCGCTTAGAAATTAATGCTGGACACGAGTGAAGACTCGATCCTTTACCTCTCTATCGCTCGGCGATATTACCGGATATCGGAGCGGCACATGTGTATAATGCGCTTCTCGTTTACAATTTTATGATCTATGCTACGCGATCTTAATAAAAAAAGCTTCTCGTAAGATAATTATTCTTTTACTTCTGGAGATCCGTATAAACGTAGAAACGTAGAAACATCCGTATGAAAACTTGACAAAGGTACCGTTCCGGAGTGGTAAATTGTGCATGTCTCATAAATTGTAATTAGGCGTTACTTTTTAATGATTATCATAAAAATTACACGATAGGCTTCGTCATAAGTGTTCTCTCTCGTATGGAGAAGTAGCAATGTTTCGAACAAACGCCGAATTTACACAAACGCATTCTCTCTATAGTCTAGATTAATATATCACTTACATCTCGTTTTTTTTTTTCGACTTACTGTATATATTTTATCTCGTATGTTTCATGGTACGTACGTATACGCGGTGTAAATGTTCCTCATTGCATGTGTTGATGTAAAATGTGTTTCCTCGTGTTCTCGCAAGCGCCTTTGTGCCCGCGCCTATCAAAATTATGTTAAAAATGTGCAGTTCCTCGTTACAACGTAAAACGTCTCGATTGTACAGATGTAAACGGAAAAAGGAAAACCAAGGACCGCGAAGGAAATACGAGCGAAACAATGTGCCAGGTGCCCTCGAAGTCGCTGATGTAAGTGCGAAATTTTGTCGCATGCTGCTAAATCTTCTTCCGCTTTCTTCTTTCACTTTTCTCGTTCGCGTATTTCCATTTTTTTCCTGTTTTCTCACCATGGCGAAGACGCATCTCTCTTGTTTCGCGCGCTATCATTCTCTTTCCCCTTTCACACCGTCAATCGCTATATCACACACAGCCTGCCCTCTCGATTTCCTCCTATATATTTCGCGGCTTTCTCTCTTTCTCTCTTTCTCTTTCTTTCTCTTTCTTTCTCTCTCTCTCTCTCTCTCTCTCTCTCTCTCTCTCTCTCTCTCTCTCTCTCTCTCTCCCTCTCTCTCGCTCTTCCTCTCATTCTCTTTCATGCTCTCTCTTTCTTTCTGTCTCTTTCATTCTCGTTCACACTCTTTCGCTTTCTCATAGAGTACAATAGTTATGTAATTACGGGAGGGCGCCATCCAATGAGTATTTCCTCTGGAATGCGCGACGAACGATTCTCGCCCTATCGTCTCGACGATCTTAATCGCTTTTATCGCTTGTCCGTCGCGCGATGTTCGAGCATTAGACTTTATTTCAATAACAGTTAATGATACTTTAAAAATTTCTACACAGCAGGGACGATCGTTGTAACCTGCAGCTAGACAAGATCCGAAAGTATTTCGGCGCCTTAAAGGCCTTCCCGCGCGCCACAAGGAATGAAACGAACATCATTTAATCAGTGAAAGAGACCATGCACGTAACGTTATGTGTGCTATTCCAGAATACGTTCACGTAATGTATGACCTCATGAACGTAAATAGTTCTTGAATAAACAATCATAAACTTTCATGCACGTATTCTCGTTTGTCCTACCGTTAAACATCATCTAATAATTAATAGGCCTATAGAGTCTATATGCTCTCGCGATGCCGCGGTCGTCGTTATCGTCATCGTTATCGTCATCGTCATCGTCATCGTCATCGTCATCATCGTCGTCGCCCCGTTTTTCCCTTTTGCTGCTCGTAACGAAAGAACGTTATTTTCTGTTGCAGGAATGGTCCAAATATACATATCTATATAATATACTTTTTTGGTTTTAACGAGAGAAAAGAACTTTCTTCTTTCCAAAATACAATTCGATTAGTGGCGCTTATTCGTTTATGTTGTTTTGGTGGTGCGCGTCAGCGATGATTTCCTAAAAAAGAAAAAATATTAATGAATTGTATACTTAAGTGCAAATCGATGTTGCAAAAGTTTTATGAGAAAAAATAAGAAACACTTACATTCGTGTTGCATTCGATAGCTTCGTTCACTGCCGCCGCGACTGCTTTATCACTTATGTCGATCTCCTCGATGGCCTTTAGAGAGAAAGAGAATAAAAGTATTAATGGCGTTTATGACTGCTTAGTCACTGTAAAAAGGTGCAATCGCAATATTAATGATCAGATGGCCCCTCGCTCGTTAATCTTCGTCGGTCAGTATACTTGATAATGACCTTCAGACTCATTTACGCTCATCGAACGTAAATGATCTCTTGGCGATCATCATGCATATATAAAAATCATATTAAAATTATTAAGTATCTCATTATTTAAACTATTTAATTTTCGTCTGATAATTGTCAAGATATATTATTATATCTTCATTATGTTACTAATTATCAACAAAATGTTAATGATTAGAATTTATTAATATAAAGATTTATTCCGAAACAAAAATTTTACCACTATATTTTAACTCTACACAATGTGTATATAATTTATAATATTTTTATTTTATTGCTATCATTTTTTTTAACTTTCTCATGAAAGTACTTCGTAAATGTATATAAGTAAAATCTCTAGTCACAAAGCAAATAAATGATAAAGAGTTCAGGCTCTCCTCGAAATGATCGATCGATACTATCCCGCGCATCATCAATGACTCACTCCAGGCTAATAATAGCACGATTGTAGCGTACGTGATTATAATCTTCAGACTGCGGCTAGACTGAGAATTACATGTATCTCTATATATATGTGTGTGTGTGTGTGTGTCCGCGCGCGTGTGTATACCTTGGTGACAGAGGCGACGTCCTCAGTGATAGCTGGTGCTGTTGGCGGGGAGGTGGGTGCTTCAGTCGGGACAACTGGTGGTGCAACTTTGGGAGCTTCATCGACACTCTCCGTCGTACTAACATCGTGGGCGACATTGTTTTCTACCGGCGCCTCAACTTCCGGAGCGTTCTGTAAAATACAAGTCTTCTCGTTATGTGATCGTCACGTATTCGTTCATTCATCATTTTTTTTTCTTTCTTCAAGTCCAAATCCCAACATGCTGTAACGAGGACAAAGGACGACGTAATACCGATTCTGCCGAATACCTTTCGTTCATAAAGAAAACGACATTTCTTCCTTTCTTGTAAACACATAAATTATCAGACTTAAATAAGTATTACAAATGAATAAGCACGAGATGATTATGTTGCGGTTCAAGTAGGAGATTACAAATATATTTTGAGATTATTTAGGAATAAGATTCAAAATAGAATTTTTGTACCTCAAAATTAGATAACTTTGAAGCAATCAAAATAATTTTGGCTCAAATTAAAAAAAAATGTTATTTTTTAAAAATACATAGTATGCATGTTTAATATCAAAATATAAGATATCTTCAAACGTTTTATATCTCAATTTTTACATACATGCTATTTGAGCATTATTTGGGTCGATGTTTTACTTCACTTTGTGATACATAAATAATTATGTAAGAAAATACGCAGTAATTTACAAAAGAAACAGAGTTTTCTAGATAAATTATTACTAGCACTAGAAATATCTTTAATTGACATAAACATATTAAACGCGTTAGAGCATATTTCTACCAATAAATTTAGCCTGTGTTACAGTATGCCTGGACAATCGCGATGACTATTACCTCCTCGCTTGAAGCGCAGCATACGACGACAAAATGCCTCAGCAGAATCGTTTCGTCATGCTTCGCGCAGCGCAAAGAATTGAAAATCCCGCTGACGAACCCTCAGATAAGAAAACTCGGCATGCGCAAGTACAAGATGCTTACGATACAACAGATGCAAATACGAGAACAGCACGATAGTAAGTATTGAGCTCTTCTAATGAGCATGTCTATAAAAAAAATCTAAAACGTCAGCTACCACGCGCGTATCATTAAACCAACTGCTTTTACGTCTATCAATGAGATTCACGCTAGAGGCACCTCTAATTTATTCGAGCGTCTATGTTATTATTAGTATAAGAGAGCGTTCGATATGTGAAAAGTTTCAAAATCTACGGAAATGACATCAACGGACGCGGCAGTGCGAATGGTCTGCTATTTGCCGCGTTATAAAAAGTACTCTACTGCAACGCACTGATTTTAATCATATGAAAGGACATGTTAATATTATCAAGAAAACCAAGAGGCAAACAACACAGGTGACAATAAGGTAGTCATGGTAATATACATATGGACTTTTAAAACGGAGAGTTGGGAAGCGGAAGCGTCGGAGGACATCGAGTAGCAGAATAAGGCTTGTGTTAATCACGTTCGACAGAACGAAGGATGCACACGAAACGAGACCCTCAGGCGCTGAAACACAACGGGGACGCATTGGGATGGAAAATGGATTTAGCGGACTCTCTGAGGACTGACCGGCTCCGGTCGTGCATCGGCACACCCAAACAGCAAAGTATAATTTTGTTCTCAAGACGAGAATTATTTAAGGTCTCTCTCGGACGTAACTGTCAGTCTCCTGTCACTCGATGTTACCCTTCGTCGAGAGAATGGAGCAAAAAGATAAGGTTATGCTGCTGGATATAAAAGGAAAGAGATGAAAGAGTGAAAAGGTTTTTGGAGTTCAAAGTACATAATCAATAATTTTTGTACAAAGGGTATTGGAGGAATTTTGGAAAGAGAGTGGAGATCGGGAGAGCTGATATTTTCATTTTCAGGCTATAAGACCACAGAGACAGTACTGTGCGAACCGTACGACGAAGATATACGTGGAACGAGGCGCCCGCCAAAGAATTTTGGCCGGTTGCATTCATGCCAGGAGGTTGTGTTGCATATTAGTCACCTGGTGATGCTCCTTGACGGCAGTCGACGGGATGGAGTTCGACAACTGACACGACAAGGCCTCTTCCTGGCTTTCGGTCTTCACTACGCACTCGGTCGCCAGTCTCTCCTTCAACTCAATGTTCAATGATTGATCACGTGACATCGTCAGCGGTTCGCTCAGCAACATCGATTGTTCACGATTGCTGCTGTCGTCTTCGTCGTATGAGGGAATTTGCGAGCGGTCTTTCGTGGCGATTTCTGTCGCGATGCCGGGTGTGACACTAGACTGTTGGAAGTTAGGACTTAAGGGCGGCGTAAGGAGCGTCTCTGTCGGGTCTCTTGGGTTGGCTACGTGCTCGACGGGAGCTGGTGGTAATTCATCTATGGATATATTCGCAGGAGGAATCAATAATAATGGACAAGAGAGTTCTTCCGGTGGTAAAGGATAATCGAAGGAATCTAAGCTCTGCGTCCCCGTGTCTTCAGGCGCCGGGGGTAGATCTTCCAAAGAGATAAGTACATTTTCGGGTTCGGGCGAGAGAGCTAGCGTCTGAGGTTCGCTCAAGTGCTTTTCTGAGAGGGAACACGTCGGAGCCTCTGACGGTACTGATTCTATATCATCTAAGGGACAGAATTCCGGCGATGTTAAGCGATCCTTTGATGAAAGAAGACACCTTTTGATCTCCTCGGTTTGCTCAAGTTGCAAAGAGGATGTCATAAACGGTTCTGCCTCAACAACTGAAGAAGATATTGCGATAGGTTCTTCTTTGTTAACAACTGGTTCTGTCTCAATTGCACTTGTATTTTGAAACTCGAATGTTTGAGAGTTGAATGCGGTTAACTCTTCAGGCGGACATGGCAACGTATCTTCAACTTCACTGACTGTTTCCATTTTGTTTCTCATATCAGATATGACAAATTCAGTTAATAGCTCAACTGCTGGGTTTTCCGGAACAAAAATATCTAATTCTTCTGAAATCAAAGTTTCTTCCATAGGTAACGTCGTAATGTCCGATTCAAGCTCAATCTCCAGTTTCTCTTCGTCAGTTTCGGGAATCACCTTGACGGATTCAGTGGTGTCGGTAAGCTCTTCCACACTGTCATCTTCTGGAATAATCAACGCAGGCCTGGCTTCTACCAAAATATCCTCTGAAACTGACAATGGACCCTCCTCGGAATTTATAAATAGCTCAATCGGTGAAGGTGTCGACGAGATTCCTTCTTCTTCCTTGATTTCTTTCAGTTTTGCATAATCGTGTTCATATTCAATCGGTATTTCGCTCGATTGTTCCACAATTTCTACCACTGACGACTGCTCCAACTCCTTTGATGAACTTTCGATCGACTTTGCAAAGACTATAGAACTAACTTCCGATGATTTTGTTGTGTCAATAAACACACATTTTTCAATAGAAGGAAGATCCGAGTCTGACAATTTCGCAATTGATTCTATACGCTGCGTTTTATCTGGAGAATTCTTTATATTTTCAGATAATAAATATTGCTTTACCGCCGGACGGGCATCTTTTGTTTCAATCTCAGCCGACGATAACGTTTCAGCCTCGACTTTATGTTCGATGGTAGGCGGTACATTTATCTTCATCGGAACTTCACAGCTATTTATCTCGCTCTTTGTTTGACACTCCACTGGTAAAGCCTCATTCACAATTTTAGCCATCGCAACAATATCAGGAACTTTTTCTACACCTTTGCTCTGTGCATTTCTATCGCATTCCATCGCAAGAGACGGAGTTTCCCTCGACCAATTTGCCTCACTTTTCTGACACTTATATACTTTCTCCTTCATCGTGATGTCGTTATCTATCTCCAGCATTTTTTCCTTATTATCACGGTTACTTTCTAATGTCTCCCTTATTTTTTTCGCAATATCTTGAGACGTTTCAACTTCGATCTCGGTCTCTACCACCGGTAGGCACTCTACTTTCGCGAGGACAAAAGTCGCTTCCGTCGGGAGTAAGTTGTCGGTGGAGGAATCGAGTGATGTGGGGGACGCGACAGCAACGGTGGTGGATTCATTTGCGCGGTTCTCTTGGGGAAGAATGTCTTCGCGAGACGACGGGTGTGACGCGACGTCAAGTGGTGGTGCCGGTGATGCCGGCGGTGTCGATTCCTCCTTATCGGCAGCCACGGCAGGCAGCTTGAGCGCCTCGGCCAGGGCTGTGGCGTTCGCCGCGGCCTGCCGAGCCTGCTGTAAAGGCGACGGATCTATGGGAGTCGGCGGTGGACTGGATGGGGGCAGGGACGGGAGGTCCTCACTGGCTTTCCTCTCAATGATAGACGGCGTCGCGACTGGCTGGACTCGGTAGACGGGGATCTCTACCGGGTCCGCTACGGAGTGACCGCCGGCTGACTGACTGACCTCGACTACTTTTTTCTCGGCCTCGACTTTTTCAACCGCCTCCTCTTTCTTATCCTCGACGGACGGGACGGGAGTGGGGGCGGAGGGAGTGGGTTCCTTTTTCTTTTCCTCGACCGGACTAACAGCTACGGCGGCTGCTGTTGGCGACACTGCGGCAGCTTCTTCCTTCGGCTCGGCCGTGACTGCTGCTGTCGGCGAGGCTGCCTGCTCGTCCGTTGAGGGACTGCTTGTCGCTGATTTCTCCTCCACCGGACTGCTTGTGGCGGCCGTTGCATTCTCTGCATCTTCGCCACCCTGAGACAATCGAGAGAACACACCACTTTAGATACTTTGTATGGCGCACCACACTCGCCTACCGTAAGTAAAAATTCTACACACGCACACATTTTAAGATATTTAATTTATTTTATCTCACAATTTTATAAAAATATCGATTGCAACATTTTGTTATATATATATGTATCATAAAAACACTGTTATATCATAAAGTGCACTGTTTGCACGAATACTTTTGTAAACAGATAATATGTAATTTAATTTTAAACAGATAATTTTTAGCAGTTTGTTTTTGAATTAATAAAATGAATTAATAAAATGCAGAAATATAATTTCGAACAGAGAAATATTTATTATTCAACTATTTTTTGAGCAGTAATCGGCTCAGCAAAAGGTGAGCTATGCCACGTGAATAAAATGCGATAGAGAAAAATGTTGGTTCATTCGAGCGCGATATTATTTTTTTGTTCGTTGCGAGGGGTGGTCGCCGACGACTACAGCGCGCGTTCTCTCATGCCAAGGGTGAGTTCCGAGCGACTCAAATAAAAACGAGGGTAACAGCTTAATGATACATCGATGTGGAATGAAAGAGAGAGAAAGCGAACGAGCGATGTATAAAGAGGCGTACGTACCCCTAGTGCATACGAGGGAGGTAAAAAGAGAGTGCACGATGGGGCGCCGAGTTACCAACGTTCTCACCCTTTAGAAGCCGTATCAATCGTGTCACTGTGTCAATGAGCTGTTTTTTCATCCTTTAATCTTTTTTTATGATAAAACGATTACAGTTCTTTCTATCAACACTTAAAACGGGGGAATTTATAATTTAAAAGACTAAAATTTACTGTTCTACAAAGAGCGATTATTGCGCGAACAACGACTCTAGACATCTTTGATATCTACTGTTATCGAAAGAGCTATGGTAACCCAATCTCTCGAGTTAAATAATGTTTTATTATTTTTTACTTCCATATGTGTCAAATGTAAATCAATTATCTCTGTGATTAGTTTCAAAATAAACATCCATACTAACGTATATGCATTTAGCAAATAAAAACTTAAATGAGTTAAATTTAATACATTTCTATAATTAAATTGTTCAATTCTATTTTTGAATTAAGGACATATTAAGAAGGAGCAAAATTAGGACCTACAGAAACAACAAAACTCAAATTGGGTATAATTTAACATTATGAATTTAACTGCATGCTGGTGAAAGAAGAGAGACAAACTCCTCTGCGTGACGCGGCAAATGCCATATCATTTATGTTTATACGCATAATTCTGTTATCAGCTCGGTAACGTAATATGTAGTGATAAAACTGAAGAAGTGCGCAGCGGAACAAAAATATGGGCACGTTCCGTCGACATATACGCCAACGCTTAGAAATTTCTAGGATGTTCGTCACGTTTCTATATATGAGATATATTTGTTACTACTGCAAACTGTTTCATTTATAACATTTGTTACTACAATATCTACGATCTACTGTGTGTTGTGTATGTTTGATTCTTAATCTGCTAAATTTGAAAACTAGTTCTCGCATGTAAAGATATAAGATAATATGTAAATGTATATTTAAATGCCTAATAAATATTTATATGTATATATTAAAATAAATTTATGATAAAAATAATTCCATACAAAGGCTAATATACGTAAGAATTTTATTTTTGTTGATTTATATGTGACTATTTTGTTCGACGGCTCGTTTGTTTAACTGTCATCATTAGTCTTCGCTTGGCGTGTGCCGACAAACACTCTCGATACCTTTCAGTTTGCGCAACTAAAGGCAGCGAGAACAACCGAGACAAAATCAATTCTTGAAACCCGAGAGGGAAACAGAAACCGGACGTGAGAAATGCATCGTGCGCTTTATTGTCTCGCGTTCAGTATCGATCGCCGGCATCAAGTCTCCCGTCGTAGATTTTCCTAAAGGATATAAGCCTCTCCCGCTTAAAGAATTACAACGGAGTAGCACTTAAGAGGTATTTGCTGCAACTTTTATGTTGGTTGTACCTGGGAATCACCATTTTATTCTTCTTGCAAAAAAAATTCCTCCTGTAAAGAATCGTAAGAGGATATTTCCAATATATAGTATAAAAAGACATAAAACTTGGCGTTCTCCTTCAATCCTCCGTTAATATAATACCTTCACATTTTACGTTTAAGGGCCGATTATTCTATCTTCGACTAAACAATGTGGAAACGTATCTACTAGGCAAACAAAAGAGTAAAAAACTAACAGCATACATAAGACAGTGAGTTTTACCGAAAGGTGGGACAATCCATCCTAAAATAAGTAATAAATTAATGTAGCAGTTCGAAGAGTTTATTTCAACACATTCTACAATGAATGTCAACTCGGAGGAAACAGTATTTTATTTCTTTATAGAAGAATATTTACCGTTTATAAAAGCAATGACAGATCAAAAATCCGCTCCAATTTCCTGAACCGAAAGACCTGTTCCAAATTCCATTTGAAACTTTCCACTCAGAATTCTTCCACTTCCGTCCGAGTCCGTTGATATTTAAACACAACGTGTCACCGTCGAGGTGAAAGCGACCGTAAATAGATGCTCGCACCGCAAGAATTTGGCCTAATATCAAAACGTAAAAATGCACGACAAAACTGGCGAATGGCCAGGATCGAGGGGCATTGTCCGCAGAGGCGAGGAGGCAAGCGCCGAGGTAATGAACTTCCGGCTGCCTGGCATCCTCTTACGACAAAATCGATTGAGAAATTGTGGACCCGCTTCCCTATATACACAATACTGAATTGCTGTTGGCCAACAACCAATTCTGAGTAGGTTAACAGTGACTACGTATTGGATGTGACAAAAAATACGCCGATCTCTCTGCAGCAAAAAGGCACACTCGATTCTTTCCTAGCAAAGAAATTGAAAATCCGCGATTTACACTCCTACAATTCCTTCGTGACTCTTTTATTTCGTAAATACCAAAGAAGATTAAATGATTAAATAAATACACACATTATAGAGATGTGTCGTAATGTGAATAAGTATTATTAAAAAATAAATCTGTTTATAGCGAAAACTTAATGCACCGACAATGTACTTTATTAAATAATAACTTCATGAAATGAAATTCTCCATTTAAGGAACACTGCTGCCGAGAAAAAGCATTTCGTATTCAGAATATCCAATGAATAAAGAATGCATTGTAAAAGCGGACAAACAGAAAAAGCACAACTTTCCCGATGCATAATACTTCTGTTGATTCTGTATTGAGCGATGTTATTACAAGTGTATTTCAATAGAGAGAACGCAGTCTGCGATGTTTTCAGCAACTTGAAAGCCAGTCAAAGGAATCAAGTTACTCACGTATTCCGAGTATTTATCTTTTCAATGTTGTTAAATGATGCAGTAATATGCACCAATTTGCAACAATTTCAGCGGAAAATGTACCGTTTATAGCTGCTTCATTAATAATGACGCCGGCTAAAGGCGTTTCCGACAGTTAAAAGTAAGTTAATTTTACGCTAGCGGGCGGCGACTAAATTTTTAATCGACCCGTAAAATACTGACGCGAATGAGCGTATACCTCGCACAGTGAAGTACGGGGATGAAACGATCAGACTCGGAAGAGTCGACAAAGTGCCATAACTTTTACGTCCGCACGAGCACGTGGAACATTAGAAATGCATTAGTTTTGCGGACGCCTATCTCAGGATTCTCAGGGACGACCGTCGTAACCGACGATGCGATCCTTCACAAACGTTCGCAAATCCTCGCCCTCTGATTTTCGATAAAAACTTGGTAGATTTGTAGAGCAAAAGCCGATCACTTTTAATCAGAAATTAGTTTCCCGTCGCGTCGCTCTATTGATATATTTCATATATATTAAAAAAACCTTTTATATTAATTTTTAAATTGTAATTAATAAAGTATAATTTTTATATTTAATTTTATATGTAATTTTTTGGAGTATTGGACATTTTTTTAAAAAAGATTCTTCAACAAAATTGAAGGAGATGAATTTAGGGAAATCCTTGTCAGAAATGTTAACGTAATAACGTGTCGTGTTCATCCGACCGTATGAATTATCCTACGTGCCATCGTACCTACTCATGACAGCTAGTATTCGCCAGAACCAAAATCAATTTCCTGTTTGGGAAAAAAAATTAGCTAGAGTAGAGCGACTCGCTGAAATAATGGTATTATATAACAACTGTCATCTCATTCTGACATTGATACAGTAATATTCTCTAGCTAATTATAAATGAACAGATTTTTCGAAGTGTTAGTATCGTAAGTTTAATGCCATAAAGATAATATCGTTCTCTTACTTCAAAAGCGACACAATTAAAAAATTATTGTATTATTATTAATTTTAGATAGATATTTAATTATTATTTTTTTATTCTTTGACTTTAATATGACCTATATTTTTGTATTTTGAATATTAAGAGTCTTGTACTACCTTATCTATTTTTTACAATTAAAAAAATTAAGTTTCCTAGAAGAAAAAACTATTTTTCGACTTAAAAGAAAATATTATTGACTAATCAAATAATATCGGCAAAGAATATATTTTTAATATGATCAAATATTATTTTTGCACGGAAAAAATGGCTATTGTTGCCACGACCAAAAGTCGCCCATCAATACATTTTTTGGTTATATAATAAAACCTATAGTACGATTGTGATGTCTATAAAATTCCACTATCTTAACGGTTACAGTTGTTAATCTATGTTCATCTTACGGTTTTCACAAATTATTGATGGGTGAAAATTATTTTACAATACTTAAAAAATTCACCTTTTTTGAGTTGTGATAATTTTTTTTAAATCACCAATTTTTTAGTTGTGATGTTTTGATGATTTTTTTTTATAAGTTTAAGTTATTTTAATTTTGATGATTAACAGAGTAATATTTTTTTCATAGTAATAACTCGAAAAAATACTTTTTTTAATTGTGACACTTTTGAAGTAAAAAAAACCGATATTATAATTTTATTCAAATTTTTACTCTTAAGCTTCCAGAAACGAACTCCTAAAGTCCTAAACTCATAACGGTAAACTGCTATTATGTACAATTTTAAATTTTATGTCCCTTGGAACGGGATTTGATGGCCGCAGGACGAAAACGGAACAGACAACTGCTACGCCATCGATGTTCCGGAAGTAATCTTGCGTATTTAACAAGCGTGACTTAGACAATAGCTACGCTAATGATTTGCAGGTGTTTCGCGAGAGACTCATATCGACGTGTTCCGCGAATGACATGTTCATCGGATATGCTCCGCATGCGGGCAAGACCATGCATTGTCATCGTCTCTCTTAATACGCTGTGGAGAAGCGATAATATGTATACCGCGCCTGGAAGACGTCGAGCTTCGCGATATATAGGAGCAACAAACTAACGTTTGTTTTAACTTCGCTATTCTTTCACAGATATAAATTACGAGCATTTATCCGGTTCACCGGAGCATGTCCGCCAGGAATATTGCGCGCATCGGCAAACAACGCAAACGCGATCGGCGAGAGGGAGAGGTGTACGTTTCATGTATGCGTCGAAAAAAGCCCAATAGTCATAGAGAAAACGAGAGAAAGAGGGACAAAGAAAAAGCTATAGAGAGTGGAGAGAAAGAAAGAAAATGTCTATTGTTTAGTCGTATATCGCTGCGCATCGATATGAAACGTTTCGAAATGCTCGTCATTCTACCGTGTGCACGACCGATTTCGTCACTGATTTAATGCGATTGTAAGATAAATCGGCAATCAGTCCAACGATCCACTTACATTTGCTTTTCACTGAGCACCGTATAATGCTAGCACGGCACAACCGGAAAGCATTATGAAATACTAGACTAAAGTGGATACCGTTGAATTTACGGAGAACACCCTGAGAACACCATTTGGAGAGCTAATAAAATTCGAGATATCATGTATCGCGATTAAATATCATTTTAATTAACCTTCGCAGCAGTATCGACTTCCCTTGATTTGCACTGAATATTACACGTTTAAGTTCCACGCTTGGCTTCGATTGACTTCGACGAACGAGGTCGCAGTCGATTTCCTCCTGACCGTTCTACGGCTCTTTTCGCGAGGCTTGGCACGCGACTCGAGTCGGTTAATAATCCACACAGATAGAAATCTGACACGAAAGCCGACGCGAGAAGCTAGCTCGCAGCCGGCGTGTAAACGGCTCTTTAGGTCGCGGCGAGCGTCTCGCGTGTTTCACGCTTCGCCATGGCGAGAGAAGTCCGGACGTGTATATCCGTCGACTGTACATACATCTACACGTCGTACTTAGTGTTGCGATTAGATAACGAAAAAATTATTTAGATAAAGAATAAGATAAATTACACGTGAACACAATTAGATAAGATAAAGAGGATTTCATTTTAAATTTATCTAAAAATGGCATTATAAGTTCTTTTAGATAATCATATAGATTATAGATAGATATATTATATAGATAATTCTAAGATAATATTACTTTTTAGCAAAACATTTTAAAACATGGAAACATTATATTCATAGTTTCATTTATAATATAAATCTTTATTTCTTAAAAATTAGAGTTTTTCAAATATTCCATCTGACAAGGCTTTCTGCGTAGTATTATACATACATTTTGATAACAATATAATCTCTAATAATCTAGATAAAGATAAGAAAGCCATTTATCATCTAGATGATTATCTATATACATGATTATCTTTATACAGATAACAAACACCGATTATACTATAATTGAAGCGTTCGGCGCAAAAAACGAGAGAGAGAGAGAGATCCGTAATCCGCAAGGTCTACATTTACGTGGCAGTTTGATATCCAGAGATACTTTCGTAAATTACGAACGTACTTCATTCGTGCCTCAAACCCTTCAATTCATACGACAAAAGAGTTATCAACGAAAATTGTTGAATCAAGCCCTGACCAGCGTTTATAAATTTTCCCACAAATGTCAGTTCCTCGCCGGGCTTCCTGGCCTGGGATAATTCGACCCCTAGGGGATAAACGTTCGTATACGGATAAAACGGCTCGGCATGATAATTTAATCTCGCAGCACCTCGCCTCCGGCACGAGCGAACCGCCGTACGCCCGCTTTCCGCTCGATGAGCCGGCTCGTAATAAATTTCGATAAATCTCGTTGGAAATTCATAGCTAATCAAGGATTTAACGCGCGCTTTGAACGCCGGCTGGGTATAAATTGCATTTTTCCCTGGGGGCTATCATAACACTGAAACTTAACCTTAGCGGAAACCCAAGTTAGTCATCTCGCAATCCATCCCTGATAATGACTTACACACAACCGCGAGTGGCTTGCCGCCGCCGATGTTGTTGAGAGAGGGGTCGAGCGAAAACGGCAAATAAAATACTTCAGAAGAAGAGAGAGGGAAGTTTCACAGATCGTAAATTATATATACGTCGTCGCTGTACATTACGAAATTACTCCCGCTGGTGCAATCTCACCCCATCATGTGACGGTGCTCAAATAAACTGCAAAACAAGTAGGACCAAAGAGCGAACTAGCGTGATCCTTAGCCTCGGATAAATCGCTATTTCCGCGCGCGTTTGGCACCGCTGACGTCTCGGTCGACGAGCCTAATCTCAAGAAAGCATTCCGTCGCTTTTCTCTCGCCTTCGCGTTCCTACGCTCCTCCGTTCTATTTTCGTACATCTCGCGTCTCGCGCTAGCACAAGAGTAGTGTCGGCTTACCGTGACGGATATATTCCATCCACTTAAATTTAACTGCACGTATTCACCAATTAAACATTAATTTATCGCTTAAACGTTAACGTTACAGGCAAAATTAAAGTTTTAAAAATAACTGAAAAATGGAACTCGCTAATAGGATTTACCGTACCGTGGGTAGATCTGTATCCTGCTCATCTACCGGAACTGCGGTAATGCCCAATAGTGGAACATAAGCTAATATTCTCCGAGTTCCACGTGCAAGGGCACACGCAACTCTGCACATGCCATTGCCCAAACTGCGTCCCGCTTGTAGGACGTATTCCATCTCGGAAAAAATCTTTAATTAATCCTGCGTGCAACCTTCGAATTTACAAGTTTGTCACCAAAACCTCTTCTCCGGTTGCTACTACAATGAACGATTAAGGTTCTTGTTACAAATTATTCATTTAGTTATTCTTCTATCATATTTAAAGTATTTTATTCTACTATTAAAACAATAATCATTGAGATAGGTATATAAATTTTGTTTATTACAAACACGTGAAGAAATCAAATAATCGAAAGTGTGATAACAAAATTTTATTATTGAGTAATTTTTAAAATAAGAATCTAGAAAGTATTTGTTTTAATTCGTACACTATTTGTTTAATGTTGCACGATAAAACATTTATATCGTTCTGTCACGCGTCATTTACTTCGTCAAATACGTCATACGAATAAGTATATATCGATCTACATTTAGAAAACTGAACACTGCTTCTATGTTCAGTTTGGATACAGTGCCATTCTCTATTAATAGAACTGAATCACGAGGCGAAGATTGATTCTAAATACGTAAAAGGTATCGACATATAAAATCACAATTTGCATGTAACATCAAATTGCATCAGAATTACATGACATAAAACGAAAATAACTTCTTTATAATATTTAAATATCATTCGTTAATCGTTATTTTTAATAACATATTTCATTTTGTAAGATATCAATTTTAAACAGCATATTGCAGAAACGTTGCGAAATTTCCGCAACAAGGAAATTCCTCAACACCGGAAGACCTTAATCGTCCATGAATATCAACATGTCATCATTGCAACACTACCTTTATCACACGCGCACGCAAACACAAGTGACAAGAACGGAGGCAGATCCGTACTAACTGTTCGCCGCTGGCAAACTACTTGGACCAGGCTACGAGTTCAGTGAGGGTTTATATAGAGAATCGTCCCACGTCTCCTAGCGAAAGAAGAGAAGTGAGAGTCACACGTCGAAAGCTAGAGAAAGAGAGAGAAAGAGAAAAACTCGCTAGAGGAGTTAGTTACTAGCCACTGCAGCAAGTAACTAGAGATGCAAGGTAACACTACGTGTTAAAAAATATGAATTGTACAAGGACTGAATTGTACAAGAAAAATTTGAGAGCTGATTAATCAATCTATTATTATAACATTTAACGTCGCATTTAGTAAATATAGATAAATTTATTAAAGAAAATAATAGTATTATACAATTATATTTTTAGAATCTTAATTTTTCTCTCAAAGAAAAGATTTTAGATCGCCGTTTAATTATCCAAGATTGGCATGTTTCATTTAAAATCACACACGATAAAATTGAAATAGAGGATTTATATGTGTACAATTTTAAAACATTATTTCTGAAAACAAAACTGTAGAAGATGCTCGTATTTTTATGCACATAAATTTTACTTGAGCTGTAAATGTTCACGTATTTCTGAGATGGCTACAAAACACACATAATTATACATAAGTACACATGTTGTGTCGGAGAAGTCAGATTCCCCGGAGAGATATCAACGGCAAAGAACGAGGAAAACTGACCCGCGTCTTTGTATAACGGGTAGTTACAAAGCTTTCGAGCGAGTGAGCGAGCAAGACGGCGAATTAGGAACGGAAGAAACAAACGAAGAGAAAGGAAAGCACATTATCTACATGGTGAAACTAGGAAGAGAAAGATCCTTGAGCATACCAGTAATACAAGAGCGACAAAGTGCAGTAAAAGAGGCGAAGTTGACAGTAGTCAAGGAGGAGAGAAAAGGGGAATCGGATTCATCTTAGAAACGTACGGCTGCTAACCAATGCGTCGCCACGGACAAAAATTTACGCCGCAAAACCGCGGTGCATTTCTATTCTTGGACGACCGAGACAGGAAGACAAGGAGACGGAGAGCGCTAAATGGAAGAAATGGACGAAACGACGACGAGAGAAAGAGACTATGCATTTCTTCTCATTAACGCTGAATTTATATCTATCCTTAGGATAAGAGAGAATTCCTGTAAAAATATGTACTATATTTGGACATTTAATTTTTTTTATATTAAAGTGTTTTTTTTTTAAGTATTTTATGCAGAATTTTTTAGTTCTCCCTTTATCAAGATTGTCACAATTTTTCATAAATTAATTTCAAAAATTTTCCTTGATTTCCAAACAAAATTTTATGATTTCTCCTGATTTTAAATATTTTCAAATTTCTAGTATTTTGTTAAATATCTCGTTGAGAGATCAATTTAACATAGCAATATAAATTATTATTAACGTTATTGATACTGCTTGTATTTTTAATTGTTAAGTTGGTAGTATTCCAAAATTGTGTAGGTGTAATAAACTTCCTTAAAGCCAAGAATTTTAATTCATTTTTCACAAAATTTTGTAAAATTCTCTAACTTTTGTTTGATTTTTCTGATCGTTTTTAATTTCTCGGAAAATTTCTTTATTTCTTTTATTTTCAGTTTTACGATAACCTTGTTTACAGATTGTATGTATTCATATTTCGCAAAGAAAACAAACTGTCACAACAAAGAGAATGCGCTTGCAATTGCAACATTAGGTCACGTAATCTACTGCGGTGTAACAAAACCACGCGATAAGTGACAATATGTCCGATTAATATTTTTTAAATAACATGTTTCTTAAAATAGCGTGTTTTTTAAAGACAACAGACGTTTGCTTGAAAATGCAATCGGCGATTTACGAGAAAACGAATCGCGATAAGGTCGCGGTCGCAGAAATAGTTGGACAGCATCCAACCGGCTGAGTTTATCGTAGATTTTACTTTTCCGCTTCTCTCGGTTGACATAAACACACGAGAACGTAACGTCGGAAGGCCGAAAATAATCACAGATCGTAAAGAATATTGTTGCAGATGTGGCGACAATATAATTTCCGATTCTCTCAGAAACAGGAGTGCATTTATTTGTCTTTTGCTGTTGCGCTTTGATGCGAGCTTATCAAATCACTGCAGAAATAATCATGACGCGCGGAATAACCACGATACAGATAAATGATATTCGCGGAATGATCCCGTAAAATTGAGAGCACATTTCCTCTAACAAAGAATAACGCATCAATTTATTTTAAAGCTCAATTATCTAGATACTGAAACATTTAAAATTCGAATTGGAGATAAATCCATAAAATCTGTTTCAAAATTAACTCCAAAATTAATTCCAAAGTTATTACGAAACCTCTTATTGGAATACAATGATTTTGGAGGACCGTGTAATTTAAATTTTAATACAAGATGCACTCTTTGACATAGCTTCGCTGCATAATCGTTGGCGGCAGCATCGACTGCACGCTTCAATATTATATTTTTAGAAACGAAGGAGTTTACCAAGAGAGATATCCGAGCGAGCATCAAGCGAACGTTCAAATAGATGGAGTAGTTACTATGCCGGAAGTCGAATAGCTTCTGATTATGAGCATTCTAATAATTACTGATAACGAAGAAAGGTATACGTGTTAAATGGCGGGGAAGTGCTACTTTCCGCTTACTGTAAAAAAAAAAAAAGAAACGCTGCTCTCTCTCACATTACCATCTAAATGCGCTAAAAATTTGTTTAAACAGGAATTTTTTAAATACATGCGTCAATTTAGGATCATAAAACTTGTTACAATTAGGGGAGACCGGGGCTCCATGGATCACGGGATATCATGAGTGATTGACTGTTTAGGGAGATCCAGAATGTTTAGATTTAGGTTCAGATTGGTGCAATTAGTATCATATGATTGTTATTTAATTGTCCATACTATCTAGATGGCAGTGATCCACTTCCGTTAACTTTCCGTACACGCATGTTGTTAAAAAATTTCGTGGTGCGAAAGTGATTATTTAACCTGTCAAAATTTCTTATACGTTATTTCTACAAAGTATAATATATACTTATTACATACATGATTCCACACATCTTTCCACATTTTCTCTGCAGTGCAGGTAATCATTTGTTTCGATGTTATATTTCACCGTCTTTTATTAGACACATTGGGGCACCATGGGTCATAAACTAACAGGCGTTTAGAACAATTTGCGTAGCTGCAGAACCGTATATACATAAAAAAAATATGTAATCGTATTTTACGCGTGTCTTTATGATAAAAATGTAATTAGTTAAATCTCTCTATACATATGGTTATGTGTAAACTATGCAAATTTGTCTGAATAGGTTCTTATCGGTTTAGATTAAGTTAAGTTTTCGTAATGAAATTGGGTAATACAAATTCTTTTATATTCTTTCAGAAAAGACAATAAAAATGGTTAGAAAATATAAAAGAAGGTCGTCTAAGAGTACACATGTGTCTGACCCTTGGTACCCCGGGCATGGGGTATCATGGGTCACTTCTAAAAATTTCTTTTTCGATTTTTATTTAAAAAACAAATCAATATTTTTGAAAAATGCTCAATAAATCTCAAAATATACATTATCTCTTAATTATATTAAAAAATTGAGATCATAAATCTTATTTTAATGCATCTTTACTGTTTGAATTTTTGTGACTCATGATGCCCCGATCTCCCTTACTCATATTTGTTACAATTTTGTTCTATTTTAGTCTACGCATATAAATCTGTATGACATTGTTGAACATATTTCGGAGTTGAAATTTTTCGAGTGCACGAGCAAACAGTTACTCTGAATCGGAAGAGCATATTTCCGAAATAAAAGCGAGGAGAATCATTTCCTGTAACAGCCAGGGATGCAAAACACATAAATCACCTTTCAATTTTCGCTTGTTAGTCGAGTTTTTGCTTCCCACTAGACGCTGTATCGATCAACCTGCCGGCGATACAATCATAACGAATATGTCACTACTGTTTCACCCATTCAATTCGTCATAATCCTCTTTTCGGATCAACACTCTACTCTCCTCGCCTTACTCTACATATCCTCAATGCAACGAAACAAGAAATAAAAATTCAAAGACTAAACAAATATATATTTTAGCCCGAATGTCTACTCGCCATGCTTTTAAGTCGACACTGAGCTACTTTTAATTTTCGATTATGCGTAAAAAAATTTGATGAACAAAA